GTGCGTACGTACGTACGTACCTAAAATTAAAGTTTAGGGTGGAAGTTCGATTGATGTTACCTATAAGAAGTTGTACCACTGAACAGTGATAAATGATTTAAACAGCTAAATCAGATTTCCATTTTTTCTCATATTTAAAGTAAAATGGATCATAATAACTCGGTTCATTATAAAAAATCAACTAATTTAGACCCTTATGACCTTGGATACAATTATCAACATGGGATAGGGTTGAAAAGGATGAACATAAGGCATTCATAGATGGGGGACGCTAGTGGAACATATAGTGTTGGATATTGTTATCACCGTGGAATTGGAATTGAAAAGGATGAAAATAAAGCGTTCAAATGGTATATGAAATCCGCAAAGATGGGTGATGCCGATGAAATACGTAATGTATACTTACGTTATCTATTTGGAACTGGAGTAACTAGAGATTTACAACTAGCTAATCACTGGTATTTAATTTAAGTGATATCTAAATAAATATGTTTAAAACTACATGAATAAGGAAGGAAATAAATTTACGCTAAATAACTTTAATGATGATTTAAAAGAAATATTGAACGATGAGAAATATCATCAACTATTATGGATTCCATACATTGAATTCAAAAATATCAAAGAAATTGGCAAAGGTGGATTTTCTACAGTATATCGTGTTGATTGGTCCCGTAATCTTTTCATAAAATCGAAAATTGCTCTTAAATCGCTACATAAAACAAATTATGATGAATTTATAAATGAGGTAATTTCTATTATTTCAACTATTCAATTCTATTCAAATTTTTTTAAAAATTTTATTTAATAGTATGACTAATTAATTTAATTAGTTGAAAGCATATAGTAAAATCGGACACGAAAATCCTTTATTTCTAAAATGTCATGGAATAACACAACGACCGGACTCCAAAGAATTTATTCTTGTCTTAAAATATGCATCAAAGGGACCTTTACGAGATAATCTTCAAGACTTATCTCAAATGAAATGGAAATATAAGTCAAATCTATTAAATTATATTAGTTCTAACCTTGATGCAATTCATCTCAAGGATATATTCATCGAGATTTACACAGTGGAAATATTTTACAAGATGACTTACGCAACGCGTATTTATATGATCAAATTCGAATTCTGAACAAAAGAAAGACGGAATTTTCGGAATTCTGCCATATATTGCTCCAGAATTTCTAATTGGTCAATCATATACTACAACATCAGATATTTATTCATTTGGAATAATAATGTGGAGAATCTTATATGGAATACCTGTATCATATGATCATAAGTTTACTGAACGGGCATCTTCAATTAAAAATATGTAATGATGATTTACGACCACCCGTTAACGAGAAAGCTCCAAGATGTTATGTAAATCTGATGAATGAATGTTGGGATAAAGAACCTGAAAAACGACCATCAGCCGAAAAAATCCGAGAAACCTTTATGAAATGGCAAAAGTAAGGAAATATTTTGTTAGAATTAAATAACTCCATATTAAACCTTGAAAATATCGAAAAATCGTATGCAGACACATTTAGAATGGAAGCAAGTTTGTTCCGTATAGTGAGTCAATTTTGGATATTGACAGCGAATTACAAAATTTGACAATCGACGATTATTGATTGGGTTCCCTATGATTGTACGGATTTTTCTGTTTAAAGATGTATACGTTTTCATTAATTCGCACGCGAGGAGGTTTTTTTTTATTTCAAGTATCGAAATTACCTTAAAGTTTCCTAACTGTCTAACAGTTTAATTCAGCCAGCATCTTTGTCAGGTGCGATAATTTTCTGCTGCGATTAAGAATAAATTCTACGTGTGATGATCTGGTTTTTGTGATAGTTTAGTGAATTGATTGTGGTTTAATTTGCTTAAAAATATAAATATAAAATGTGCTAATAACGCATTTTACTTAACAGAAAATTTATAAAAGACTAATAAATTCTAGTTTGTGCATTTGAATGCATTTATTTTTTAATTAGCAATCTTATATTAAATTTTGACAAAGTTGATCAAAAATCTCAATAAGATCAAAATATAAAAAGTTAGTCCATATTCAGTTACCAGTTTATAACTCAGAATTCAACATAAAACTGACTTTATTTAAATCCAAAGCTTAATTGTATTAACTAGCTTTATATGTTATGCCTCATTTCTCGATTTACGTCGATCATTAATTGATGCCTGTCATTTTTCAATTTCCACCGATTGATAAATGACCCAGGTCAATTCTTAATGCAAATCATATTATAATCAAAGCTTATTAATGATGCTAATACTGTAATGATAAATAAATAAATTTGAAAAATATTTTTATATCATTATGTATTTTTACGCATTTTTTTTTCTTTCTACTAATGAATCCACAAAGTTATTTTTTTTGAATGTCTTAATATTTTAAAAAAATTCCGCCAAGCAAAATATTATACATCCAATTCATAATATATAGGAACGTCAATCTTATAATGTTCAACACCAAGTCATATAATTCATATTATGCAAGAACATCCAAGTCAAGAACGCCCAACATAAGAATACCTCAACACAAGAAGGCTTAACTCAAGAATACCCAAGAACGCTTAACTGAAGAATGCTTAACCCATACATTTCCAAAGTAAATAAATAAAAAGATTTTTTGAAATTTTACTGATATAATCTGAATTGAAGTAACGGTGCAAACAATAATGGTTTAAGTAAACTACATTGGGGTGCAGTACAAATTTTCTGGATATTGGTCAGAACTACTTATCTAATTAGCACTAGAAATAGGCTGCTTTTATTAGATTTAGGTGTTATAATTTTGGTTACTTTTCACTTTTTTTGATAAAATTTTTGGTAAAAGTTGGTAATTTAATATTTTTTCAAAAAATTAATATATAAATTTCTTAAAACAATTACTTTTCTAAATAAGATTGTAATATAATATAGATCCAAAAACAATACAATTAATAAACAAACATGCTTTATGCATATGTTTTGACTGGTTAAAAATGTTTTAAAACTAACCAACATTTAATACTAATTACTTAACAATACCAAGTTGAAGTTTTTTCTATTTAGTTTTTGATTAAATAATCTAAGTAAATAGAAGATAGCTTTTGCTATATATTTACTTACTAATATTCCTTTTATTATATAATATAAATTATTGTGTTTTTTTAAATAATAAAAGAAATTAAAAATATAATTTATAAAAAAAAAAAAAATTAAAAATTTCCATCAATGTTTATAAAATAAATTATTGTTTTTTACTTTAGTATATGTACAAATTAAATTAACATACGTATTTAGTTGTTCAAAATTGAAATTTTTAATTTATTAACTAACAATTATAAGCATTTAAGTTCAAATAAAAATTTAATAATTTTTTATAACCTGATAGAGTAAGTTTTATAATGCTTTAAATTTTTTTAAAAAAATAATAATAAAATTTATTAAATATCAATTTATACTTACAAAATAGTTTGCACTCTTATAATAATAGTATTATATATTATAAATGAGCAAAGCTTCACATACATATCATTATTAAAAAGTTTGAGGTATACAAATTGACAAGTGTTTATTATTTCTCTTTTATTACACTTTTATATGTACTGCTATAGGCCTTGTGTAATTCTCTATTTTTATATTGATGCCGTATATACAAATCTCTTTTTATTTTTATTTTTATTTTTATTACATATTTTATCAAATACTGTATGTATAACCATTGTTCTTCTGAAACGTTACCGTCAATCTTTTTAATTTAAGTTCAATAATGCTGCAAGTAATTTTCTTTGTCAATTATGTATTAATTGAAATGCATGCATTGGCCAGGGTGCTTAACAAATCAGCATATATACATGCATTGGGTGCTAGATCCTGTCCTTGTTTAAATTCCTGTTCTTGATTTTAACAATATAACTTCTAGCTAAGATGTATTCGGGAAATGAATGTGTAGAGAAATTATTGTAAAGAAATAATTATTTGGGAAAAGTGTTGCAATTAGGGATGGACCAGAATTAGCGTAGTGCTAAGGTTAGGGGCTTATATGTACCACCACGACTGGATTATCACGTAAGTGTTGTGCCCGTATCTCAAGCGGTTTTAAGATTCAGGCAGGCGGATATAATTCTGGTCTGCTTGAATAATGCAGCAGGCAGTGATTGTTAGGAAAATAAAAATGGTCACATCGAAGAAGAAATAAAGCAAATGATTGTGATGCGATTATCTGTAAAATGAAAGTACATACGTTGTACCACATATTTTCCTCTTATGGCGAACAAGAGAAAGCTAATATAGCGATAGAAACAAGTATTACACAGGGGAAATGCATAGTACTATTTTAGAGAATTGGTAAATTTCTAAACTAACACATTTTTTTATAAAAATCCGTGATATCTCATTGACATAATTATGAATGATTGAATCTTAAGATTGGTCGATATTATTTTCTTTCAAAATGAATGGAACTCATAACGACAATCCTAACACTCATAGTAATGGCCCGTTTGGATCCATTGATCATAGTTTTTTTTCATTTATTTCTTTATTTGGAGGTGCAATTTTTTCTACCCTTCAGAATCGACCAAACCCCGCTAAACCTTTAATCCCAAACATCTATTTAAATCATTCATTAGATTTTATGCATAGCGCTTATGCGATGATAATTATTTCATTCTCGATTCATCAAAATTTGAGTGGTTATTATAATATTACTTCACTAATTTTTCAAATCATAATTAATATAACATGTATTATCTCAATATTCTTCTCCATTATTAATATCATACGCAATCGAAACTTAAATGTTCTTTCTTACAAACACGTGCTATATATCAACTTTTTTTTGAATTATATCATGCTTCAATGTCTTCTTATAGGATACGTACATTATGTAAATTTCGTTGAATCGATTATACCACCAGAATACCAAGTAATTTTGTGGACCTTTACGATCTTATATATAATTTCGTTGATGGGCTTATGCTTTTTTCAACTAATACAACAAATTATGGACAATAATAACCAAGAAATGGAGGAAGAGGAAATGGCAATACAGGAAGCAGATGAAAAAAATATGCAAGTGAATGCGAAATATACCAAAATTTGCTACGCACAACAATGTTGTTTTCGGATGATATTTTTAATATCAATATGTAGTTTTATTTCACTTGGCTTCTGTCTAGCCAGTATAGAGATTCCAAGCGCTATAGATAAAATCTTTATAGCTTTTTTGAGCGGTTTAGTTGGTAGTATACTCTTGAAACGGGTTTTTTTAACAAACACTCGAACTGATAGAACATCTTCTATTGATTATATTTTATCTTCTCAAGAAGTAAAGGAAAGAATCATTGAAATGTATGCTTTTGAAGCACACGATTATAGTTACGAATTCATTTTGAAAGATGTTAATAAACATCTTCCTTTGAATTCAAGGCAATCCTAAAATTGTTATTACATCGAATAATGTATATATTTAAATATAAATTTGGATTAATTATTAATAAAATAGCCTGCACCTTTGCGGGTCGGGTCGGTCGATAAAGTTTAGACAAATATATTCTCTACAAAGCATATTTCAAGCTAAAAGCAGCTAATCGTTAGTTGGTAAATTTAGATAAAAATTTAATATAGTAATAAGGAAAGGAAATAATCGTATTTATAGAAAATTAGTCTACATAATATATCGGAAAGTGATAATATTGTCACCCGTAAGAACTTTTTCAGAAAAGATAAAATTTTAAAAGTTCGTCTCGAGCACTTGTCAAATGTCTATCTTGCAGCTTATTTTCGCTTTGTTCCCTTTCAAATCTTGCCCAAAATTTATTGCCTGTTAATAGCTTGAGCCACATCATTGCAAGTCTGACATCCAACATATCTGACAAAATTGATGCTCTCAAACCATTCTGTTTGTATAATTGTAAAAAAATCGCATATCTTAACAGGACTTTGGATTTATTTTTGATTCAGAACATTAATAGATCATTAATATCTGCTAGCTGTTTTCTGTTTGAATGTAATATGTAGGCAGCATACCATATCTTGGACAGCATAAGGGTTTTGATCACCAAAATGTGACCTTTAAAAGAAAGATTCCTTTTATTTATTGAGTTAATTGGTTTTTTTTATTTTTTCTATACTAAACTGCCACGAATTTTTTATTGGCTACCCTTTTTTATCTACCTCATCTTTTTATTTTATATTTGTATTACATATTCTATCAAATACTGTATGTATAACTTTGTTCTTCTGAAACGTTACTTCAATCTTTTTAATTTAAGGTCATTGTCAATTATGCATTGGCCGGGGTGCTTAACAGCTAGCCAATCACAAATCAGCATATGTTACATGCATGACAACTTTTTGATATAAAGTTTTTTACATTGGGTACAAGATCCGGGTTTGGGTAAAATCCCGAAAAACAGAATCCCGACAAAAAAATCCCGACAGCTAAAAATCCCGACAGTCAAAAATCCCGACAGTTAAAATTCCGACAATTAAAAACTCTGATAAAAAATATAATAGACCATAGCAAACCCTATCCCAACCATTATCTAAAGTGATCTAACCCTAAAATTAATTAAATTATAAGAGCCTATTTTGCTTTAAACATATCTCATACTTGAGATTTTCTACCTAAAAATCCTGGCTGTCGGAATTTTTAATTGTCGGGATTTTTGACTGTCGGGATTTTTTTGTCGGGATTATGACCTGTCGGGATTCTGTTTGTCAGGATTTTGACCCGCACCCCAAGATCCTGTCATTGTTTAAAATTCCTGTTCCTGATTTTAGCAATATGACTTCTATTAAGATGTATTGGATAAATGAATGAGTAGAAAAAATTATTGCAAAGAAATAATTATTTAGGAAAAATGTTGTAATTAGGGATGGGGAAGATGTCGTTGTGGGATATAAGCCCCCTAACCTTTACGCTAATTCTGGTCCAGTGTTGGGTCACGTAAGGACCGGAAATTCTTTAAAGTTCGTTTAGGTTAGGGTTAGGGCCATGCTAATGTTAGGGTTAGAGAAGGCTGAATAGTAAAATTTGTCAAAGAAACCTTTTTGTTGGAGTGGTTTCTTATGTTGTGTTTTGAGAAATAACCGATTTTTGACAAAGCGAACGTTTTTTTGAATTTACCTGATTGTGTGACAAATATTCTACTGTCATGTGATGACCGACGGTAAGTGAGCAAATAGCGAACCACGATTTCACGATTTGATGAACGTTGCATGATCAGGAAGACAAAAACAAAGATTCGTCTTTTTTAAAATCACTTATTTCTCAAAAAATAGCATAATATACTACCCTTCGTGCTCTAATTAAAAAAATTCCTTGGGTAAATTTACTAATAATCTCTTAATTTTAAAGCCCAATATAATCGCTAACCCTAACCTTAACGAACTTACGAATTTTTTGTACGAGCACGTGACAGTAGTATTTTGTGGCGATGTTGGGTAAGATCACAACGACTGGATTATAACGTGAGTGTTGTTCCCGTAGTTCAAGCGTTTTTAAAACTCAGGCAAGCGGATATAATTCTGGCCTGCTTGAATAATGCAGTAGATTTAATAAATGCACTATTTGTTCATCCCTAGTGGTAAAGAGGTAGTGATTGTCATGAAGTGAATACAGGGATATGTCGAGGAAATGATCATGTCAGTGATTGTTAGGAAAATGGAAATGGTCACATCGGAAAGGTAATACAGTAAACGCCTGCTATGCTATTATCTGTAAAATGATACGTATATACGTCGTACCACATATTTTACCTCATATGGCGAACAAGATAAAGCTAATATA